GCGCCTTGGGCAATAAAATCCGACCGGAGAAAACTCGGTCCGTAAGTTACAGTACGGCCCTCGAACTCGGTTAGTAGGTATTATCCTTCGATATCGATAATCGTTTGAAAAAATAAAAAATCGAGAAGGTCGATATAGACTGGTATCAAAATGACCTCTGGACGACCCTAAACTGTGACGACTTTCAGATATAAAGAATTGAAAAGGAAATAGGTCAAAGAGGAAATTATAGTAAGCATGTCTAAGAGTGTCTTAGTCACAAACTTACCAAATGGACTCCCTTAGCTTACAAAGCCGTCTTTCCTCCCTGTTGACACGACATCTGAATTTATTTTTCGACCGGTAGTTTTCGCCCCCCTTTCCTTCTTTAAAGGAAAAAACCACGCAATCGACAATGCATTTCTTCCCGTCGTTTCCAGAATTTCCAGGATTAATTTCTATGACCTCGGCCATGGTTTCCACGTGTCTAAAGAAGGCTGAGCTCCGGGTGGCAGAGGTCAAGTTACTTGTCAAGTTACGTTTTTAATGACAACATTAACGAAAACAGCTTCGTATTGGCAGATTATTGAAGATTAACTTGACAATGTTGGTCTGTAATTCATTAAAATTTAAACACAATGGTACGTGCTTTTCATAAATTACCACGGATTAACGAAGTTTACATGCTAAATTTGAGTTTGGGTTTTGGTCGAGGGTCGAGGGTCGAGGGTAAAATGTCGAGTGTTGAGGGTAAAATGTCGAGGGTCCGAGAAAAATGTCGAGGGTCCATAAAAAATCTAAAAATTGTAAATTTTAAAAAAAAATAAATGTCGTGAAATGTCAGAGGAAACTCAGAAATTTCATATGGATAAATTCCAGACATGTTGTGACTTATTGTTTTTGTATACTTTCACGCTTCATTTACACAGCTTCCGCAAATGCACCCGCAACCTCAAATAAATAGATGCCGGTTGATCGAGGTCAAGGTTAACTTTGTGGGAAGCGATATTTCGATGGACGAATTGCTTAGTCACGCTTTCCACAAAGTTAACCTTGACCTCGATCAGCCGGCATCTATTTATTTGCGGTTGCGGGTGCATTTGTGGAAGCTGTGCAAATAAAGCGGGAAAGTATACAAAAACAATGAGTCACAACATATCCATATGTAATTTCTGAGTTTCCTCTGAAATTTCACGACATTTAATTTTTTTTAAAATTTACGCATTTTAGTTTTTTATGGACCCTCGACAATTTTCTCGGACCCTCGACGTTTTACCCTCGACCCTCGACCAAAACCCAAACTCGCTAAATTTAGGTCTGAGCAAGACCAAACAAGAAGCCAGAGCACCGCAAATATTTTCATTTCACCGAACACCGCAGCGTGATAAACACAAACATCGCACACCGAAGGATTTGCAATCACCGCAACACCGCAAATTGAGATTTTATTCACCACATCACCGTAGTAAAAAAAAACATCAACACCGCAAATCCCCATATCCCCCTCCATATGCTGTCGAATCTTCTTACAAAATAGCTCTATCGTTTTGACACACTGCATATATTGATGTCGGTTTTTCTTATGTAAGTTTTTCAACACGAAGAAAAGACTTAGCAGAGTCGGAAATGCCCTAATTTGGCCTGTAACGCAACCCATGTATGAACTGTCAATTTCCTCGAAACGGTTGAAATGGCGAGTGGCAAGCATCGGAGACGGCGGAGCGTATGGAGGGGACAAAATTGTTATTAGATCGTGTGCGGTGAGGCATTATATCGTACTGTATGGTTATGTAGCCAGAGATACTATATCGTACCCGGTATGTTGTCTTATCGTAATGGGGATGCCATTATGTCATTATGCCATTATACCACATGCTGCCATATCGTGCCCGATAATGCTACATCGTATCCGGTGTGTTGTTGTATCGTGGCAGAGATGCCGTCTCATCGTACCTGATAATGCTATATCGTAGTCGATAATGCTATATCGTACCCGGTGTATTGTTACGACGTAGCAGTGATGCCGTTTCATCGTACCATATGCTGCTATGTCGTACCCGATAATGCTATATCGTAACCGGTGATGCTTTATCGCACGTCTAACTGGTCAGCGGCTCACGGTGAAATTAGCGCGAAACTGACATCACGTGTTCTAGAACGCGATCGTTCTCGATTTTTACTTCTCTTGAAACGCGGTATTGGACAAGTAGAGATTTTTAGCTTAGGTGTGTGCTTCTTTCTTCTAATCTATTGATATGTCAGATCAAGATCTCATTGCAAGAACCACATCTATTTTGAGAAACGCATTAACAGAGCTAGAGGGCACTTTAAGTTCAAATAGGACCAATAAAAACATTGGTGACCTGCATGGTGCAAGTGTCTGCACATCTGCCATTCGCGATCGCGAACGTGCCTCGGATAACTTCAGGTGAGTAAATAATATGTCATTTATTAAGCTTAAGCTGAAGGTTCTTTATCTGTGAAAAAGAAAATTGTAGCCTGCAGAACAGGCGTAATTTTTTGGCGTCTTTTAGGCAGACAGGCGAAGCTTTCTCTTCCCCTCGCGCGCCACTCGCGCTTGGCATTCACCACGCTTTTGCCTCTGTTCGCCAAAATACGCCAAAAAAATTACGCCTGTTCTGCAGGCTACAATTACATTATTATTCTGCGGAGGTGGGCGGACACAATCATTCTGGATTTCTCTGTGACTTGAGCTACATCACCAAGTGACTTATTCCTTTTTTGTTCACTTTGCCGCGGTACTTAGTTAGTCCTCGCGTTTCATTCAGAGATTTTTGTATTTCCAATTTGTCATGGCATCAACTTGTTCAAACGTCTATTAAAATCTCCATAACTCTCCATGTTAACAAACAACGAAAAGCACTCAAAGGCGATTTTGCGAAAAAAAGGCAAGATCTTCAATTCGTTCTTTCCGAACCGCAAATCCGGCCACTGATATAGGCTCCGGCCGTGTGCCCTCCTGTTTACTCCTACTTTTGTGAACATAAGGTTCAGCATTCATGTCATACATGTATCTTAGAATTATAAGTTTTTTACAGCACAAATTTCAAATCTTATCAAAAGTATGTTGTCTTATCGTAATGGCGATGCCATTATGTCGTACCACATGCTGCCATATCGTGCCCGTTAATGCTACATCGTATCCGGTGTGTTGTTGTACCGTAGCAGAGATGCCGTCTCATCGTACCTGATAATGCTATATCGTAGTCGATGATGCTATATCGTACCCGGTGTATTGTTACGACGTAGCAGTGATGCCGTTTCATCGTAACCGGTCATGCTTTATCGCACGTCTAACTGGTCAGCGGCTCACGGTGAAATTAGCGCGAAACTGACATCACGTGTTCTAGAACTCGATCGTTCTCGATTTTTACTTCTCTTGAAACGCGGTATTGGATAAGTAGAGATTTTTAGCTTAGGTGTGTGCTTCTTTCCTCTAATCTATTGATATGTCAGATCAAGATCTCATTGCAAGAACCACATCTATTTTGAGAAACGCATTAATAGAGCTAGAGGGCACTTTAAGTTCAAATAGGACCAATAATAACGTTGGTGACCTGCGTGGTGCAAGCGTCACGGCACATCTGCCATTCGCGAACGTGCCTCGGATGACTTCAGGTGAGTAAATAATATGTCATTTATGAAGCTTAAGCTGAAGGTTCTTTATATGTGAAAAAGAAAATTGTAGCCTGCAGAACAGGCGTAAGTTTTTTGCGTCTTTTAGGCAGACAGGCGAAGCTTGCTCTTCCCCTCGCATTCGCCACGCTTTCGCCTCTGTTCGCCTTAAGACGCCAAAAAATTCCGCCTTTTCTCCAGGCTACAATTTGATTAATTAACACATTGATCCTAATACCCACTCCTTCGTTCAGTGCGCGCGCATACTAAGTCTTCCGAAATATTTACTATCCTTTCAGAATAGAAAACAATGAGTTTGAGGGAGTTTGATGCTAGATTGTACCTTTAATTTATTTTTGGCACACCCTGGACTGCTGCAGACAAAGAAAAAAACTCTTGTTATTGTGTTGTGGTCTCTTGAGACTTGTAAACAGGAATTTTGGACTTCTTTCTATTTTTGAACTAGGTTATAGCAACAACAACAAGACATTTCAACATTTCGGAAGACAACACACCGCCAGCTATCTGCCTTGAGACGTACCTGTTGCTGAGAATTACTAAGTGCATTGTACACTGCAGCAGAAATTCTTGCCACCACGTCATCGTTGGGAGCCATGTTGAGAGAGATCGACGTTGAGTGTTGGTCCGGCCGGGGCTCGAACCCTCGACCTCCCGCCCAACAGTCCAGTGCTCTATCCATTGAGCTAACCGGGAAATGAGCGGGAAAACAGGCCACGTGGTTGTTACGTCTCCATATCAAATTAGGTAAATAACCAATTTTGCGCTAAATAACCAATTTTCCATGATTTTGGTTATTTAGCAAATAACCAATTTTCAGTTTTGGTTATTTACAAATAACCAATTTCCGGTTTTGGTTATTTAGCACATAAC